CAAACAAAATAATAATAATAATAATAATAATAATAATAATAATAATAATAATAATGTAAGGAAAACAAAATCGAACATCATCATCATCATCGCGGGCATATACTTTCTCCTGCCCCGTCATAATTTGTTTTTTTTTTTTTTCCTTCCCTCATTTTATATATTTTTACAATCTTTCATCCTTCTTTCTGTCTCTTTCTTTCTCTCTCTCACTTCCTCTCCTATCTCATTTTCTTTCTTTCACTTTTATAAAAAAAAAAAGAAAAATCCAATAAATTAACGATAGTTTGATGAAAAGATTTTCTTACAAAAAAAAAAAAGGTATAAATTTTACGAAAACAACCATTTTTAAAAATTTTGTTTTATGTATAAAAAAAATCGAATTCGTTTCCCTTTCTCCCTCTTCTGTTTCCGGTACATTTTTTTTTCTTCAGAAATATTAAACACACGTTTAAGTATAAAAATATTAAATTTTTTTTTGTTTGAATCGTGTTTCGAGTAGAAAAAAATTTTGTTTGTTGTTTGTTACGTAATTTATGTGAGGGTCCTAATGCGTACATATGTCGTCGATCGTCGTTGTTGATAATAAATATATTTTGATATAAATTTTTTTCTTTTTTTTTGTTCCAGCGTGTGCTTGGGGGATTTCCCTCCTTTTGTGGCCTCCCTGGATATACGCATGGCCATACATAGAAGGAAAGCGAACGGTTCCAGAAAAAGAATGTTACATACAATTTATCGAAACGAATCATTATATTACTTTCGGCACAGCCATTGCTGCCTTTTACGTACCTGTTACAGTTATGTGTACTCTGTACTGGAGAATCTGGAGAGAAACTAAAAAACGACAAAAAGACTTACCTAATTTACAAGCAGGAAAAAAAGACTCGAGTAAAAGATCAAATTCAAGGTGAGTCGAGTTTTTTTTTTTTTATCTCTTACGGAATAAAAAACATAAATTTTGAAAACCGCCATTTTGTTTTTTAAAGTGACGAAGCTGTCGATTTAGAAGACTGGAAGAGAACAAGGTCTGAATCGGGAGTCGTCGCCTCGGAACTTGGCGATGGAACTTCCGGATTAAATGCAACAAATTTGGAAAATCAAAATGCCGCACAAAAAAGGGTACGTATTTTATTATTATTATTATTATTTAATAAATTATCCAGGATTAATAATAATAATACTGGAGGATTTAATTTTAATTTTTTTTCTACGATAAAATTTAAAATTTTTCGAGTAGTAAAAAAAAAAAAAAAAAACGTTTCCACCATTACATCAAATTAAATCTATAAAAATTATTGAATGGGGGAAAAAAAATGCAACAACGCAATTGCAACCACGCAATAAAAAAACCCTTTTAAGGTTTAAAAGGATGCTATAAAATTAAATAAAAAAAAAAAAAAAGGTTTAGAGTCGTGTATATATACGTAGAGAATAGAGCATATTCGAATGAATTTCCCACAAATTTTTTTTTCAATTTCGTTTAAAGAAAAAAAAAAAAAAAAAAACTTTTGGAGTGGAAAAAAAAATTTCCAGAAATTAATTTACGAGTATGGAATAATGAAGAAAAAGAAAATGGAATGACGTTACGTATTCGCCTGGAAATCGTTTCCGTCGTATCTGATTATTGTCAAAATAAAAAAAAATTTTCTTTGTTTTATTTTACGTGGCACAAGATTAAATACAAAAAAAAATTATTATTTAATCGCACGCTTAAAAAATGAAAATTTTTTTTTTAGATTCCGGAATTTGTTCTCGTCGCGTAATAATAATAATAATAATAATAATAATAATATGAAATGAAATTTTTTAGATTTTTTCAATACAGTAAAAGACTTGCACGTATTACGTCAATTATTAAGTAATTTTAAATGTTTACGTTTGAGTGTTTGAATTATAAGATGACCTTGAGAGTAATTAGTTAGTCATATATTACGTAATTTTTTTATATTTTTATTTTTTTATTATTAAATGTCATTATTTTATACGTTAATTTTTTCTTCTTTTCTTTTTACCGGAAAATTTTTTTTTTCTGGAGAAAATTAAAATCATTTAATTTTATTATCAATTAAAAATTAAAATTAAAAAAAAAATGGCGGCGGGGATTTTAAGAGTATGTCTTTAAAAGGTAGAGAAGAAAAAATAAAAAATTTTTTTTCCACCTTTTTTTTTTTTTTTTAATTAAAAAATTTTAGTTTTTTTTGGAAGAAAGAAAGAAAAAAGGAAAGAAAAAAAAATTGCGAGACGTATAAATTATAAGACAAAGAAATATATATAAATTAACAGGACCGAAGTAAGGTTATTAAAAAAAATTATTTTCCTGGAAAAAAATAAAAAAAAAAAATCAATTCGATGACGAATTTTTTTTTACAATAATTCTCTCATTTTTTCACTCAACATAAAATTTTATTTTAAATATTTAAATTTTTCTGGAACTAAAAAACTCCTCCCTTCCCCATCTTTTTTCTTTCCCGTCCGCCATCTTTCATAAAAAAAAATTGTCCTGGAGATTTTTGTGAAAATGTTAAAAATGTAATAAAACGAAA